GTGGTGTGTGGGTGTGGGGGGGGGGTGTGTGGTGTGTGTGTGTGTGTGGTGGGGTGTGTGGTGTGGGGGGTGGGGGGGTGTGTGTGTGGTGTGTGTGTGGGTGTGTGTGGGTGTGTGTGGGTTGTGTGTGGTGTGTGGTGTGTGTGGTGTGTGTGGGTGTGTGGTGGTGTGGTGTGTGTGTGGTGTGTGGGGGGTGTGTGTGGTGTGTGTGGGTGTGTGTGTGGTGTGTGTGGTGTGTGTGTGGTGTGTGTGTGTGTGTGTGGTGTGTGTGTGTTGTGTGTGTGTGTGGTGTGTGTGTGTGTGTGTGGTGTGTGTGGGTGTGTGTGTGTGTGTGTGTGTGTGTGGTGTGTGTGTGTGTGGTGTGGTGTGTGTGGTGGTGTGTGTGGTGTGTGGTGTGTGTGTGGTGTGTGTGTGTGTGTGGTGTGTGTGTGGTGTGTGTGTGGTGTGTGTGTGGTGTGTGTGTGTGTGGTGTTGTGTGTGTGTGTGTGTGTGTGTTGTGTGTGGGTGTGTGGGTGTGTGGTGTGTGTGTTGTGGTTGTTGTGTGGTGGGTGTGTGTGTGTGTGGTGTGTGTGTGTGTGTGGTGTGTGTGGTGGTGTGTGTGGTGGTGTGTGGTGTGGTTGGGTTGTGTGTGGTGTGTGTGTGGTGTGTGTGTGGTGTGGTTGTGGTGGTGTGTGTGTGTGTGTGTGTGGTGTGTGTGTGGTGTGTGGTGGTTGTGTGTGTGTGTGTGTGGTTGTTGTGTGTGTGTGTGTGGTGTTGTGTGTGTGTGTGTTGTGTGTGTGTGTGTGTGTGTGCGTGTGTGTGTATGTTGGTGTGTGTGTGTGTGGTGGTGTGTGTGGTGGGTGTTGTGTGTGTGTGTGTGTGCGTTTGTGTGTGTGTATGTGTGTGTGTGTGTGGTGTGTGTGTGTGTGTGTGTGTGTGTACTCACCTAGTTGAGGTTGCAGGGGTCGAGTCCAAGCTCCTGGCCCCGCCTCTTCACTGGTCGCTACTAGGTCACTCTCCCTGAACCATGAGCTTTATCGTACCTCTGCTTAAAGCTATGTATGGATCCTGCCTCCACTACATCGCTTCCCAAACTATTCTACTTCCTGACTACTCTGTGGCTGAAGAAATACTTCCTAACATCCCTTTGATTCATCTGTCTTCAGCTTCCAACTGTGTCCCTGTGTTGCTGTGTCCAGTCTCTGGAACATCCTGTCTTTGTCCACCTTGTCAATTCCTCTCAGTATTTTGTAAGTCGTTATCATGTCCCCCTATCTCTCCTGTCCTCCAGTGTCGTCAGATTTATTTCCCTTAACCTCTCCTCATAGGACATACCTCTTAACTCTGGGACTAGTCTTGTTGCAAACCTTTGCACTTTCTCTAGTTTCTTTACATGCTTGGCTAGGTATGGGTTCCAAACTGGTGCCGCATACTCCAATATGGGCCTAACGTGCACGGTGTACAGGGTCCTGAACGATTCCTTATTAAGATGTTGGAATGCTGTTTTGAGGTTTGCCAGGCGCCCATATGCTGCGGCAGTTATTTGGTTGATGTGGGCTTCAGGAGATGTGCCTGATGTTATACTCACCCCAAGATCTTTTTCCTTGAGTGATGTTTGTAGTCTCTGGCCCCCTAGACTGTACTCCGTCTGCGGTCTTCTTTGCCCTTCCCCAATCCTCATGACTTTGCACTTGGTGGGATTGAACTCCAGGAGCCAGTTGCTGGACCAGGTCTGCAGCTTGTCCAGATCCCTTTGTATTTCTGCCTGGTCTTCGATCGAATGAACTCTTCTCATCAACTTCACGTCATCTGCAAACAGGGACACCTCGGAGTTTATTCCTTCCGTCATGTCGTTCACAAATACCAGAAACAGCACTGGTCCTAGGACTGACCCCTGTGGGACCCCGCTGGTCACAGGTGCCCACTCTGACACCTCGCCACGTACCATTACTCGCTGCTGTCTTCCTGACAAGTATTCCCTGATCCATTGCAGTGCCTTCCCTGTTATCCCTGCTTGGTCCTCCAGTTTTTGCACTAATCTCTTGTGTGGTACTGTGTCAAACGCCTTCTTGCAGTCCAAGAAAATGCAATCCACCACCCCTCTCTCTCTTGTCTTACTGCTGTCACCATGTCATAGAACTCCAGTAGGTTTGTGACACAGGATTTCCCGTCTCTGAAACCATGTTGGCTACTGGTGATGAGATCATTCCTTTCTAGATGTTCCACCATTCTTCTCCTGACAATCTTTTCCATGATTTTGCATGCTATACATGTCAGTGACACTGGTCTGTAGTTTAGTGCTTGATGTCTGTCTCCTTTTTTAAAGATTGGGACCACATTTGCTGTCTTCCATGCCTCGGGCAATCTCCCTGTGTGTGTGTGTGTGTGTGTGTGGTGTGTGTGTGTGTGTGTGTGTGTTGTATGAGTGTGTGAGTGTCTACCCTTGTGTGTGTGTGCTTGTGTGTGAGGGAGGGAGGGTTAGGGGGGGTAGGTGGTGTGGTTGAAAGATCCGTCGTGTAGGCACAAATTTAGTCTCATTTATCTTTCCCAATTATGCTACTCTCTCCACTTATTGCCCTTTCTGGATTTACATATTAATTGTTGCTGGTTATCATATTCCTTGTTCACATTGAGAGAGGACTTCCTAGCTTCCTAAGTATTCTTACTGCTAATAACTACCGGTAGTAACACTGCGTGTGTGCATGTGTGTGTGTGTGAGTGTGTGTGTGTGAGTGTGTGTGTGTGAGTGTGTGTGTGAGTGTGTGTGTGTGAGTGTGTGTGTGAGTGTGAGTGTGTGTGTGTGTGTGTGTGTGAGAGTGTCTTGTGCGGTGTAATGACTGGCCGCAACTTCTTGTGACCTGACACAACCCTCCTGGGACTTGACCGACCCTCGCACCATGTGTGTGTGTGTGTGTGTATGTGTATGTGTGTGAATGTGTATGTGTGTGTGTGTATGTGTGTATGTATGTATGTGTGTGTGTGTGTACTCACCTAACTGTACTCACCTAATTGTGGCTGCAGGGGTCGAGACTCAGCTCCTGGCCCCGCCTCTTCACTGATTGCTACTAGGTCCTCTCTCTCTCTGCTTCCTGAGCTTTATCATACCTCTTCTTAAAACTATGTATGGTTCCTGCCTCCACTACTTCACTTGCTAGGCTATTCCACTTCCTGACGACTCTATGACTGAAGAAATACTTCCTAACATCCCTGTGACTCGTCTGAGTCTTCAGCTTCCAGTTGTGACCCGTTGTTCCTGTGTCCCCTCTCTGGAACATCCTATCTGTGTGTGTGTGTGTGTGTGTGTGTGTGTGTGTGTGTTGTGTGTGTGTGTGTGTGTGTTTGTGCATGTTTGTGTGTGTGTATGCATGTGTGTGTGTGTGTGTGTGTGTGTGTGTGTGTGTGTGTGTGTGTGTGTGTGTGTGTGTGTGTGTGTGTGTGTGTGTGTGTATGTTGTGTGTATGTGTATGTGTGTGTATGTGTGTGTGTGTGTGTGTATGTGTGTGTGTGTATGTGTGTCTGTGTGTCTGTCTGTGTGTCTGTGTGTCTGTGTGTCTGTGTGTCTGTCTGTCTGTCTGTCTGTGTCTGTCTGTCTGTCTCTCTCTCTCTCTCTCTCAGTCTTAAACAATTTTAGAGATACAGGGCAACTGTTGGAGGTGTGGAAGACAGCAAATGTGGTCCAAATTTTTAATGGAGACAGACAAGTAGCATTACACTACAGACCAGTATCACTCACATGCACAGTATGTAAAGTAATGGAGAAGGTTTTCAGAAGTGTGGTGGAGCACCAAGAAAGGAATGGGTTCATACTCGACAACCAGCCGTGCTTTGGAGTTGGTAAATCCTGTCACAAACCTGCTGGAGTTCTACGACAAGTTAACAGAAGTATGACAAGAGTGAGAGGGATGGGTAGATGGCATTTTCTTGGACAGCTGGAAGGCTTCTGACACAGTGCTACCCAAGAGACTGGTTCAAAAGCTAGAGGAGCAGGCAGGAATAACTAAGAAAACACTATAATGGATCAAGGCATACTTGACAGGTAGAAAATGAGTAACAGTCCCTGAGGAGATGTCAGAATAGGTGCATGTGACGTGTGCAGTCCCACAGGGGTCTGTACTAGGGCCATTGCTATTTCCTGATGGAAGGGATCGAGTCAGATGTATCCCTTTTCACAGATTATGTTAAACTAGCGAGTTTAACCCCATTAAGTGCAAAGTTGAATATTACAGTGAGCACATCACCTGAGGTGCACAACACCCAAATAACTGCTGCAGCAAATACACATATGGCAAATCTAAGACTAGCTTTTAAACATCTAAGGGGGTCATTCACGACACTACACAGTGTATGTCAGGCACCTATATTGGAATATTTAGTACCAGTATGGCACCCACACCTGGTCCAGCGCATTAAGAAATTGGGGAAAGTACAAAGGTTTGCAAAAAGAGACTCAGTTCTAGACCTATGTCCTATGAGGAGAGGTTAAGGAAACTCAACCTGATGACACTAGAGGAGAGAAGGACTAGGGGAAAATTGATAACAGTGAATGAAAATGATAAACAGGAACACATGGACACAGCAGGAAGTTGAAAACTCAGAAGAGTCACAGGGTTGTTAGAAAGTAATTTTTCAGCCTGAGAATAAATCAGTGAAGTGGTAGAGGCAGGATCCACACATAGGTTTAAGTAGAGATATGATAAGGCCACCAAAGCCAAGAGAGAGTGAGCTTAATAGTGATTAGTGAAATGGCAGGGCTAGGAGCAGTGACTTTACTCCTACAACCATATATGAGTACACACACAACACCCACAGGCATGCATGCACACACATTTACACACACACACGTACATGTACTCTCTCTCTCTCTCATTCTGAAGCATCATTGCAGTAATGTAAACAGCTGACATGTTAGCTGTCTGGTGTTCTGGGCCATCCTAAGCTCAGACTCCCCACACACACTTAAATTTCAGTTTTCAAAACTAGAGCTATCCAGAAATTCATCAAAGATGACAAGAAGAACAGAGTTTATCTACAAGATAAATTTTATTTTAAACATAATAAAAATGAAATATTGAAGTCTCACAAAAATCTTAAGAGCACCGGATACCAATGCATCAAAATCACAATAATAACTCATCTTTCCTATAAAATTAGTAAATGCTCACCATTCCAAAAGCTGATTAACAAAAGTTCTTTTTCATTTTAATAGAATTTCTCTTATAAAAAAGTAGTTATAGGCAATATGCTTCAAAAGTAAACATTCATTTTTGTAAAAGAAAATGTAGCTACTTCCAGTGAAAGAAAATTACAATTTATGTATTGATCATTATTATGATCATTATTATGATCGCTGTAGTATAAAATGTAGCTACTTTATATACAATTGGAATACCAATCACTTGGTAAGACTACAGTTCAACTGAATTAAGACCACCTAAAATAATATACAACTTAAATTTAATGATTTGTTTAGAATAAATTTCTGAAGAACAATATATCTTATTAGCAGAGGTTAAAAAATAAAAGACTGTATGAGTTCATGTAGGGGCCTTTTCTATACCTTAACTTTGTTATCACAACTAATATACAAGTTTCAACCTTCATCCACTTCCATACTCATACTCATGAAGTGAGCCATGTCTAAGTTTGAGTCACGTGCTGCACCATCAGATGTTGTTGGAGGCAGTGATGCTCCTGGCAGAATACCACTTATAGCAATGTTGCTGAGGCCAAGATTAGCCAGGGAGAGTGCCCCGCCAGTAATGGGATCTCCGTGGTACACCATGGCATCTGACACTGACGGATATGCAGACTTCCTCCCACCTTCACACACAGAGAGGTGACGCGCTGGTTTTGTGGAAAATGGAAGCAAAAAAATTAAAAGATTAAAATGCAGTAAGTTAGTGCTAATATATAATAATAGCTAATATCATCAATAATGAATAAGTAGTTTTGTGTCAGCTTGCTTATACACCTACCATCCGACTTACGACCGTGTTTTTTATGCCAGATTTCTGGGAAATAAGCAACTATTTGTGTTGTACACAGTGTTTATCCTAAACCTTACAGTATAAAATACAGTACTAACAACATAAAAAGTAAAGTAAAACATAAAATACCAAAATAAAACAATAAAATAAAGTCATTACAAAAATGTTTTGCTGATATTCAGTAGTAAAGTTCGACTTACAACCAGTTTCTCGGAACCGAACTCGGTCGTAAGTCGGATGGTAGTTGTACTTATAGTAAACCCTTGATAAAATGAATTTCTCAAGCGCTATGAAATCCACCAAGTACCGTATTTTGCGGCTCATTAGACACATTTCTTTTGAATAAAATGTCTCCAAAAACCACCTTGTGTCATATAAACTGAAGATCAGTGATGGGAGCTATAAGTTTGGGGTGTAGGGCTGGTTGTAGCTCTCCCAGTTATGTCCGAAGCCAAGCCATTGAAACTAAATATGTCTTATAAGCCGCGAAATACAGTAAACTGCATGGCTAACTTCTTTAATTTTAATGTTCATTGCAGTAGATCTGTAATTTGTGAATAATGTTATATTAGGTGTACACTAGCATACACATACAGTGGACCCCCGCATATCGTTGGCATCACATAACGTTAAATCCGCATAGCGATACATTTTATCACTAAAATTTTGCCTCGCATTACGCTAAAAAACTCGCTCAACGCTATTCGTCCGAGACGCATCTTTGTGAGGCCTGAGCCAGCCTCACATGTTCCGCCGGTGGCATTGTTTACAAGCCAGCCTCCGCGGTAACATCCAAGCATACAATCGGAACATTTCGTATTATTACAGCGTTTTTGGTGATTTTATCTGCAAAATAAGTGACCATGGGCCCCAAGAAAGCTTCCAGGGCCAACCCTGTGGTAAAAAGGGTGAGAAATATTATCGAAATACTGTGGTACCATGGTCAACTGCTGATGCTGCTGCTGCTGCTGTAGCACCGTCTGCTGCTGCTGTAGCACTGTCAGCTGCTGCTGCTGTAGCACTGTCAGCTGCTGCTGCTGTAGCACTGTCAGCTGCTGCTGCTGCTGCTGTAGCACTGTCAGCTGCTGCTGCTGCTGTAGCACTGTCAGCTGCTGCTGCTGCTGCTGTAGCACCGTCAGCTGCTGCTGCTGTACCACCGTCAGCTGCTGCTGCTGCTGCTGTACCACCGTCAGCTGCTGCTGCTGCTGTAGTACCGTCTGATGCTGCTGTAGCACCGTCTGCTGCTGCTGTAGCATCATCTGCTGCTGCTGTAGCACTGTCAGCTGCTGCTGCTGCTGTAGCACCATTGTTGGTGTGGCTTATTGAGAATACCAAGAAACAACCCCAGAGGGTTAGCCACCCAGGATAACCCAAAAAAGTCAGTGTTATCGAAGACTGTATAACTTATTTCCATTGGGGTCCTTAATCTTGTCTCCCAGGATGCAACCCACACCAGTCGACTAACACCCAGGTGAACAGGGAAAAATGCCTGGAACTAGTGCTCATATTGGTGAATTTAAAGCCAGCAAAGGTTGGTTTGAGAGATTTAAGAATCGTAGTGGCATACACAGTGTGATAAGGCCTGTTCTGGAAGAAAATGCCAAACAGGACCTACAGAGGAAAAGGCACTCCCAGGACACAGTGTCTCATCAGTCATTGCTGCATCTTCAATAAAGGTAAGTGTCATTTATTCTTCATTTAGTAGAGTAGTACATGCACAATATATATTGTGCATGTACTACTCTACTACTGTGCATGTATCCTTCTCTTTGTGTGTAGGAAAATGTATATTTTATGTGGTAAAATTTTTTTTTTCATAATTTTGGGTGTCTTGCACGGATTAATTTGATTTCCATTATTTCTTATGGGGAAAATTCATTCACATAACGATAATTTCGCATAACAATGAGATCTCAGGAACGGATTAATATCGTTATGCGGGGGTCCACTGTATATTTCTTATTTGCAATTTTTTAGTAGTATTCTGATTTACTGGACACTCGTATAATCTCTTTCTCCATTAGTCCATTATTATGAGGACTTACTGTATATAGAATGCCATTATTCACTAAGTACTGCACGAATTTTTCATATGGCATAACTCTTAACCCTTTCAGGGTCAGTGTTGTACTAGTACGGCTTGCACGCCAGGGTGGGTGCCGAACTAGTACTCATAAATTCTAGCACCTTCAAATCTAGCGAGAGAAAGCTGGTAGGCCTACATATGAAAGAATGGGTCTGCGTGGTCAGTGTGCACAGTATAAAAAAAATCCTACAGCACACATAATGAGAAAAAAAAAAAAGAGGAAAAAAAAAAAAAATTCCGACCGAGTTTTGGGTTTAGAAGAGCGACTTTGCAGTAAACGTATATCTGTATGGTATTTATGGTTGTATTCTCGTTTTCTTGGTCTCATTTTATAGAATGGGAGACACATTACAGAAACCGAAATGTTTTGATTGGTTTCACAATGAAAAGTACCTAGAAACTGAGCTCAAAGTAGCAGAAATGCTCGATTTTTGCCAATGGTCAAGAGTAAACAAATCACATCACATGTCCAATACATGTCAACTGGTGAGTAATATTCTTTCACAAGTGCATTGATATTATTTATACCATTTTTGCACCAATGCAGTAGTCTGCGTAACTTCTATTTTTTGTGAGAATAAAGGTTCAAAGTAATGTAATGGAAAAGAATATAAGAGGGGCCTGGAAAAATGACTAATGAACAGAGAAAATGCTATTTTAGTGCCAGGAATGTCTGTCTTGTTTATTCCAGACCCTATTTTGAAATTGGCATCTTTTAAAATTTGTGTGATATTGGCAAAATTGCCAATTTCTGATCACTTTATTGGATAGTTGAAATCGGTAAATGGGTGGTTTCTTGTACTCATTCGATAGAACAAATGGAGTTCTAGCGAAATAGCTATGACTTTTGTCAATTGGTACTACATTAGAATTGGCCGAAAATAGGGCTCAAAGTGGGTGAAATCTCTGATGTGTAAACATCGTCGAGACTGCTAACTTTGCAAGAGCATAATTCCATAAGTTTTCCATCAAATTTCTTACTTTTGGTGTCATTATGATAAAAAAAAAAAAAAAAAAAAAAAAAAAGATTCTCTATCATAAGAAAAAATAATTTATAGATTTTTTTTTTTGGAAAAATTTTCGACCCTGAAAACAAGTTTAGGAGAGGGCCTCTCGACCCTGAAAGGGTTAAACTGTTCAAATGTAGATCTACGTTCACGTGCGTAGCACTTTGAACGTTGATATATGTTTTATTTTACATGCTTTCAAATGTAAAAAAAAAAAATGTAGATCAACGTTCAGAGCGCTACGCAGGTGAACGTAGATCTACGTTTGGACAGTTTAAGCGTTAAAGATGCTAATATCTTTCCAACCAGTCAAGCTAAAGTTCAATAAAAATTTCAACATCCAAAAGCAAACTAAGTCCAATGCATTCAATACGTCAATGAAATTCTTAAACCAAAATAATTATTAAAATTCACCAATAGAGAACACTTTGGAAAGGAAGCCTTAGATGACATACTGGTTTGTCATGGACCACTTTCACACAGTGACTTAAACATCCAGGTGGGAGAGAAATGTCACGTAAAGTTTCCCCCTCCAAAATGTGGCCTTTGAAATTTGTTCTGGCCAGGGTAATGTGATTATTATTCTTTATTATTAAAATGCACAAAGATCTGCCTCAACATAATCTTACACATGAATCCTTTCTTCATTAACAACACGACTATTCATTATTAACACAATCCTATTCTTCATTAATAAGAATTGTTCTTAAATGAATATGCCAAGTAAATAGTACAAGTGCATGGCAATTAAAAAAATATCAATATGCATCTAATATCTACTGATACTCATTATTAATTTCTCTTCTGTAGGTCAAAATATTCCTGCAATTCACATGGTATAATTACACTACACTGCTTATATGCTTCCCTCCCTCCCAGCAGATCTCTGGCATAACAAACTATGGTTAAATCTAAACTCTTGTCAAATGTGTTACAAGGTAACATTTTCTGACTAAATGTATATACAACAGGTTACTTGGATTCTTTTACCATTGTGACACAAAAACTACCTAAGCTGTAAAGGACCCACATCAACGGCATATGCAGCACTGGCAAATTAAAAAAAAAAAAAAAAAAAAAAACCTGTTCATGAACTTAAACCAATGGGGCTACCAACAATCTCAAATGTGCTAAAACTGTATTGTGAAATAGCTGGAAAAGAGCAAATCCTATGGAAGGTCATGAATTGTAGAACCACCAGAAGACTCTGCAAGCTTGTTGCACAGACCACCAGAATGACTCGAGACCTTGCAAGGGATCATTGTTATTATTGAGTATGTAACCCAATTAGCAGTGAAAGTGAAGGATGATGGGATGTCAAGAATCTAAACTCTGCATCATTTAACCCTTTGAGTGTCGAAAGCCCAAATCCTGAAGTGTCTCCTGGTGTTGAAAAATATTCGGAAAAAAAAAAATGATTTTTTTCTTATGAAAATGTTAAGATTATTTTTCTGATTGCTTTAATCCCTCCCCCAAAAATTTTTTGCCATCAATACTTACCGAGATATAGAGGCATAAAGTTGGCAGAAAATGAGCCGCATATGGCAACAACAGCAACTGCCGCTCACCCGGTAAACTTTGGTTTACTTGCATTCGTTTTTTTTTTTTTTTTTTTTACTATTTTATTTTTTTCACATAACTTACGTGGCCTGTGAGACCAAAGTATGGTGCAATGTTCATATATACATTCGTTGAATGTAACACAATTATAGCAAAAACACTAGTATCATCAAATTGTTTACAAAACTTGTTTACACAAACAAT